CAAGGGGCATGTGCAATTTGGAAAGTCCAGAGCTGTAATTCCGTCGCATTAATCCTGCATTGATGCTGTCAGTCCTTCTCACTCCTTCTCTGAATCCCCAAAGGTCACACTCTCCGGGATCTAGTTTCCTATGCACGTCCTTCTCCTCTTCTGCCCTCTAAAAATACCCTAACCAACTCCTTTCCAGAAACAAATTGCTGCCCAGGTTTCATGTCCCCTGGAAAGTCCAGAGCTGTAATTCCGTCGCATTAATCCTGCATTGATGCTGTCAGTCCTTCTCACTCCTTCTCTGAATCCCCAAAGGTCACACTCTCCGGGATCTAGTTTCCTATGCACGTCCTTCTCCTCTTCTGCCCTCTAAAAATACCCTAACCAACTCCTTTCCAGAAACAAATTGCTGCCCAGGTTTCATGTCCCCTAATTTCAAATCCCTCAATTCCTCCCTACACTGGGCCAGGCTCACATTAGAAAAGGGCTAGTTTTGGAAAACTGTCAAAACACTCGTGAGCAGACACAATTCAGGCTTACCAGTGTTCAACAGCTAGATAATCTGGCCCTAATTTTGAAATCCTAGTTTCTACCACATTTTGCTTTGGTTATTGATGCCACCAAACAAAACCAAAAATTGCTCAAAGTATTTGGCATTCTTCAGACTACTCTTTTTTTGTGCACTGAAAGAAGCCAGGGCACTAGCAGAGCAGGAGTTAGTTGCAAGAAAAAGACAAGCGACCTTGCTCTTCCTGTACTTAATAGGGGGCCAGTTCTAGAGCAGAAAATAAGGCATAAATTTATGCTTCAGAATGAATGCAACATCTAGTACACTCCAACTTCTATCCCTACAGTAACAGAGGAAAAATAATAGAGTTGTCCTGTAACATTTTCCTGAACAGGGAAGCAAATTTTTTCATGTTATAGTAACTTTAGGACTTTCTTTGTGTAGGCCTGGGAAATATGAATACACCAAATTCCCTTCTCCTGAGCAGTATATCTCTTTTAGCTATTCACTCTCTTTCACTCACCCTAACCAGCATGTGCAATTTATGTGAGAACAACTTATTAGAAAAGAGTTGTTAGCCTGGGATATTAGTTGATTGCTACAATCAAACTTGTGTGCATGTATCAGTTCTATCTCCTGGTTTTGGTTACTGGTTCATACAAATTTTCTGAAACTTACATTTTTCTGGAAAATTTTTTTCCAGGTGGGGGTCTTTGGCTAAGAAAGAAAGAAAGAAAGAAACTGGTTCAGGTGATTTTGAGAATAAGGAAGGTGAAATATATATACTTATCCAATTATTAAAGTGCTTTGATCTTATATTAAAGGACTTAAGCTCCAAAATACAGAGGAGCTGAAAACTGAAACAACACAACAACAGAAGAAAACAAAAGAGAGGGTCTGATGCATAAGTACATTGCAAGTATTCAATGTGGTTTCACGTCTCTCTTATTCAAAAGCTATTATATTCTGCTCATTTGGCCAAAAAAATGTAGCCCTTCTTGCTTGACTTCTATTAATACATCAAAAGGGACTTCTAGAGCTCCTGTGCCCATGCAGCATCCACTGGAGCCAAAGAGAGATGAAAATGCTCAAAACTTCTGAGAATTGTGTTCAGGTTTATTTAGATGCCTAGCGTATGGGGCCACAATTGACAATGTTGATTCCAAGTTTTAAAATGTCGGCCTCATTACTTCACTGGTACCCTGATGAATTGTGAATAGACATCTTAGGTAAGAGAAGGGACACAGAGTCCCCTGAAGATAAAATATTGCCCATTTTAAGCAAATGCAAGATTTGCCATGGGCTAAAGAGGGCCAGTGTTAGCCACAAAATGCTACCTTGGAGAGAGCTGCAAAATGTATTAACACAGTTCAAGTTACTTTTATTAATACTTATTTGGCTGTCATGACTGAATTTGGTGCTTTTCTGTAATTAGAAAATGTTGTTTTAAGGAGCATTATAATAGCAGTATGTCATCATAATTATTACAGTTTATATTACAATTCTAAATATAACAGTAAAACAAATTTACCCCAACTTTTTACTCTCAAAATAGACTGTTTTTTTCCTGGTAATTCACAAAAATAAACTGAAAAAAATATTAAAAATCTATCATCATATGACTGAAAATTACCTGTAATGTTATCACTATCATATATCCATGGATATACACTTTGCATATATAATACAGGTAACAAATATAGACTAGAAAGCAGAGGTTTGCTTCCTTCCATTCCATTCCAATCAGCTCTCCACCTACCCGTCCTCTAGGTCTGTTCTTTCGTTTTGGAATATCTTCTTCCAAATCCTCTTCCTCATTCACTTCATCAGCATTTTCATCATTTTCTAAAACCCTCTGTGGTTGAACAATAAACAGGAATGGTTAGAAGATAAAAGGAGGACACATACAACCAACTGCCGCTCTTTACCACTGAGACTGTGGGTTATTAGAGTTGATATAATGCCAAATCAGATCCCAGTACCCCTACTTCTCTCCACTGAAGCAAAATTTGCTTTCCTTTCCAGGGAGTTCTTATTAAAAAATACCACTGATATCAGTCATCTATGAAAAAAAAGTTCCTAAGAAAAAATAGTGGCATCACTGAGAACCAATATCCCAAGACAACAAAGTATTAGTATCCTTAACTGCAGGCCCTGTCTGAGAACTTGTTTGCATGGGAATTTTTATTTTCATTTCTTGCATATTAAATTCTTTCGGTTTCCTCTAATGTTGGGAATGCTCTTTGAGTATACAAAAATCAGTGTTTTTCTCCTTGGTAGCTCACAATCTTCTTTCCATAGCCAAAACAAAGATAATATCCTAGAATGGATCTAGAAAGCAACATCTTTCAGGTCTTGCACAACTCTAATTTGGAAGCAGGAGGTTTGCTGTATGAGAATGCTGAGCAATTACAGGTCTCATTGAAGTTAACAGGAACAATAGCAATAGTTTGTTCAACTAGTTATTTAATAGGAACTTCATCAGCTCACATAACTGAGATGCCTGGGAATTTCAATCCTTTTAACCTGATCTTTTGAAACATAACCTCTGAGAGGCAAACCCAGGCTGGCCAACCTGCATGAAAACACGCACAAGTCAAACATCGCACAGACAAGGGCAAAACAAATCATCACCACACTAATGTAAGAAGTCCCACTGAAATCCCCTCAACCCTTGGCATGTCTGCTAAAAATACAGAAATGGGCCCCAGCCCCTCCTGCCATTCATGGTGCAGTGCCATTTTGCAAGGGACTAAATCTCAGATTGGCCATGCCAAAAGAGATTGAAATTACAACCTGCTGCCATGATGCAGACTCAAATCAGTGACACAAAACTGATGGGGAGGCTTTTCGTCTTACTGAATTTGTCCCTTTCATCTGATTTCTACTTAAGAGCTATTTGAGAGCCAGCAGAGGGAGAACAGGAGCAAATCACAGTTTCTTTCTCTCCTTCCTCCATACCTTAAGCACCAAATTCTGAATTTGTGGGAATGAATACAACAGAGATTTCACTTTTTAAAAAGCACATATTTGGAAGACCAACTACAAGAGTTTATTCTTATTTTATCAGCTAAGTTTCTAAGACTAATATTGGTCAGTGACTTTTCTTAAAAGTACAAACAACTTTTAGAACATTGGAGAGGATCAAGTCTTCATATAATTTTTACTTCTTTTATTTTTAAATCTCAGGAGGCTATTAATGAGGTCAGACCATGACGAAACACAATTTCACATAATACTAGAGTACTAATACTAGAGGTTGTAAAAGTTAAGCAGGTTCCATTCTGCATATATAAAATATTTCTTCAAAATTCATATAATTGCAGATGTTAATTGACTTCATCTTAGGAAACTGAAGCACTTGGAAAACCTTGTACATGAGGAGACTGCAAGAAATGTAAGATTGTGTGTAAGAAAATAAGCAAGCATGTATGTAAGAGAATAAGCACTTATTAATACGAGTTTGTATTTTCACATTGCTTCATATCTTAAAGTATCTCACAAAACCCCAGGGGTACCCATATCATATGTGGGAGGGGAAGGAGCTAGTGTACAACAATAATACTATGCAAGAGCAGTTAAGAGAAATATTACAAACCACTTTCTTCCTTCCAAATATCAGCATCAATTTAGAAAGACATAATAAGTAACCAAGTGCAAATTTGGTGACACTGCCAGAGTAACAACTTTAACCCTTGATAGAAGGGGCATAGCCTCTCTGATGCATGGTCAAGAGGCTATTCTAACCCTTCTCCAGCAAACAATGGAGACACACTTTCAATACCAATTTACTGTGGGGCAAAATCATCAACCCTGTTCCGTACCAACTGTACAGCAGGTCCAAATGACTGCACCTATTTAGCAGGGAGAACCCTTAGTCTTTTTAGCAGTGTAACTTTTCTTTTCCTATTCTGCCTTTCTAAAACAGCTTCCCAGCCCTATGTACTTTAGTGCAGCTAAGCTCCAACTCATCTTCTCCTGACAGATACTATGAATTTGAGAGGGTGGTAAGTGGCTGGGACTGAGGTGGGAATTACAATTATGTCTATCCCACCTGCTCACTCTCCCCACCACTGAGGTTGGGCCCTTTAAAGTTACAGCACAGATGAGCATGTAAGGGAACAAAAGAGAGATTTTTATTCCCTTATTTGTCTTACTGATGAAAGCACTGATTGTGATTTTGATCTGGTACAGTCTAACTGTCAGTTGCCAGAATACACACTGAAAGCTGGCTACTAGCAAATACTTCAACAATCGTATACACTGGATCCAGATAAGCTGTGCTTGCATTGAAAAAAAAAAATTTAAAAAAAGCAGCAAGACATGCCTTTTGCATCTATTTTGATGAAACTACCATCCAGCTGACAGGTCACAGCTACAGCAGTTTAGCTGAATTCATTTATGTTTTTTTTGGCACCACCTCCCTGCTCTCAAGGCCTGGATTTGTATCAGTTTCACCATTTCTGAAGTCTCTTTCCTTGGACTGCTGCTGGGACCGGAACTCATGCTCTTCTGTTTCATTTGGCATGGGACTGCCCTCTCAGATTTATACTTGTTATAGGTATAGATGAAACATGTTATATCTCGGGCAAAATTACCAAGTTTGACACATTGCTAATAACTCTCACTAAAAAACCCTAGAAGACTCATAGCACAACAGTGTTTTAGCATCACTTGAGATATGCTGCTGTGGGAGAGGCTCACTAACCTAGTGATTTAAGATGTCTTTATAAAGTGACACAGACTTATATAAGAACCCTTTATGTTAGCTCAATTCCTTCTATGACAGCCCTACAATTGTGTTTCTACTTTTAATTGTTGAAGGATGGAATGCAGTCTTGACAAATAACTTTCAAACCATAATACATGTGAAGAGGCAATATTTCTCATACCTGCATCACTAATAATAACTGAGATAATAAAGATTACATTTTTTAAACTATTTTCTTGTATACCTCCTGAAGGCTACTTAGTATTTGAAAAAGGCCAAACCGGTTTTTTTATGTTTTTGTCTAGAGTCAGCAGCTGCGAATCCAAATTCAAATCCATGTCCAAATTCACTTTAAATATGTGGTACTAAAATTCAGTTTATTGTTGGGACCCATCTCTGCTTATCAGTTTCATATATAATCATCTTGTAGTGCTGCAAAACAAATTCCAGCACAGGAGCTGTGTAGAACATAGTCAAACAACAGATATTCTTGTGACAGGAGAAGTATGCCAGATCCTAGGTTCATTTTGAGCATCGCAATGTAGCACAAAGGTTTGATAACATTTTTGCTTAGAATGACACAACTATCACCAGATACACTGTTCTGCCACAGGACAAAATCTGCTAGACTTAGAGACAAATTGTAAAATCCAGCCCTGATGTCAGGGCATGGGGCTCTCCTTTACCTGGATTTCTTGTATAGTGTCTTCCTCTTTAGTGTCTGTTTTTTTCTCTATTCCCTCTCCACGCAGCAAAGCTTCCAGAGTGGTACTTTCTGAGGTGAACCCATCTTTTTTCAGAGGCAGATCAACTTCTGAAAAACAAAACACACTAACTGTATATGTCGCCCCCAAATTGCTAACAACCAGAAGGACAGAGATGTCAAGTAACAACTAACAGAATTACAAGCTTGTTTCTCTCTTGAAGGAGAGTTTTTCAAGCTCGTTTAACCACTAAGGATCTTCATATAGGATTTATTTCTATCTTACTGAAAACCTGTTACATTTTCAATTGCTGTGCTTGCTTACAGGAAAAAAAGCCTGGACATACTGTATCAATAGAAAATAAATGGAGGGAAAAATCCTTCTGCTTTATGTAAACTTTCTATGCTTCAAATAAAGAATAAAACCAGGACTTTCTAAGATACTGAAATAACAAACATGAAGAATCTGATCTCCTGAAGAAGAAACATAGTTTAATGCAATTTATCATCTGGCACAGTTTATACAGCACAACTTCAAGCAGCATTCTCCTTACACCAAGGCATGTTCTGCACGTGGAGAAGCAGAAAGCTTGGGCAGGGCTGGGGAGGCAGTGCTGAGAACATACATTGGAAAACAAAGAAATGTGTCTTGTATTTTGATATTGACAAGATAAAATCTCCAGTTGGCTTTAAATGGGCCTACACCATTGAAGAAACACCAGCAGAGTTACAAGTGCAGAATCTTGCTCAAAAAGTGGGACAACCCCCAGTCACTGCAGGAAGAGCCAAAGGCTTGCTCAGGGACAGGCCTAGGGAATGAGGCTCCAAAGACACTGTGAGATTATGAGGAAGCTTGATACAATTTGCTGTACAAGTGAAGGAACAGAGCCTCCTTCCTGTTTCAAATGCTGCTACTAGGTTATGAGGCAGTGCAGCAGACAGGCAAATTTTAGCAAGATATTAAAATATATCTAGGGAAGAATTCAGTTTTCCTGTCCTCTACTCCACTCATGAAGGGATCCATTCAGAGCAGCCCTGTGGCAGGGAGGCATCCTGCGCATCACTTTACCTGACAATGCCAGGTAGGAATTCCTCAAGTACTCCTTCCCTTCTAAAATGAATTCCTTCCTCTAGGCCAATAGATTTATACGTAATAATGTACAGGACCGATGCTCACAAATCAGCATCTGGTGTCCTTATTTCACAGCTCTGTCCAGTTCTCACCCTTTAAAACTGTGTTTTGTTCCCCAGTCTGCCTGAAGCTCCTTGCCTTTCTATCACCATAAGTTGTAAATTCTGCAGGGCAGAAATTCATGCGTTTTTAAAGTCCCAAATCACTCCTGCAATCCAAATAATGAATGAACACTTCCACCTGGGACAGTAAAGTATAATCTGTTTCTTGGGGGCAATTGCATCCAAGGAATATGTTTCCTCTCTATATGAAAAACTCTAAGCCAGCAAATGATTCAGGGTCTCTGATCAGTGCTTCCACAACATGTTTGCTCCAGTCTTCTGAAGTGAGAGAGCATTGCTCAGCCAATAACCACAGAAAATCCAGCAAAAATTCCAGGAAAAGCTATTCTATTCATGGAGGGAAAGGCTGAGTACAAACCATGCAGAAAACCCAAACCACTGGGATTTTAAAGGAAACTCCCAGGACAACCCACACAATGGGATGGAATCAACTGTGAATTGATCCTCCTTCTCATCACAAGGAGCTCTATTCAATCAGGCCTCTGTTTTCCGTATTAAGCTCTGCACACCCACCCCGTTATGGCCCCTTCCCCAACTTCTGCCTTACTTGAGCTATAAAAAAGAGAGAGAAGTCAAAAGAGAATCATACAGATTGAATTTCCCTGTATGAACTCCCAGCACCTCCCTCTGGATCCAGACATTTCAATAGAAAGAAAGCATTTTTTTCTTGCTTTATTTGCAAATCCCAACACTTGAATCTGAAGTCACTAGAGAACCTCCATATTCATCTCTGACTGTGGGCTTGGCTTGGTTTCAAAGTCTTGTGCTTGGGTGCAAAAGGACATTCGCTCTGTATTTAGAACCTTGTGGGACTGCAAAACCCAAGGGGTCATCATACATTCAGCAAGTGAAGAAGCTTCAAGCAAGCTCAGGGGCATTGGAAACAAACATGTCTTCACTGTGACAAACTGTGTCTGCCTCTGGATACCAATGCATTTGGCAAATGAATGCATTGGAAAAGGAAATGAGCAAGGGCTGAGGGATAAGTAGAACATATATGAAGGTAGAACTACTCGCTGTTTGTTCCAGAGATATTGAACACTACATCAGAGGGAAAGGTAGGTTTTAAGGTCATAAGCAGACAGCTGTCTTTAATAGGTAAGTTTGGTCTGTGTGGCACTGCTACTTCCCAACAGCAACACTCCAGGAGGACTTTTCATCCAAAACTCTCAGAGCATTTTCTAATTACTAAATTTAACATCCCACTGACAAGGCGTTGTAAGGTAATATTTTTATTCCCAGTTTACTGATGGGGAGATTGAGTCACCATGAAGCGAGCAGGGAATCAGGCGAAAATAAACTCAGTGTAGCTGCCCACTAAGCTGACTGCCATTCAATTCCTTCATTTTCTTCTCCAGTGGCAGCTTCTGAGTCCATTTTAGTTCCTAAATAGCTCTAGAAAGTGGGAAATGGCAGATGATATCTTATCTAGAATGTAAAGTTTACAGTATAAAAACCTTCCAAGGCCCAAAGACAGCCCCTTAGTAATGAATTCAATCTTTGTAATGAATTCAGTCCTTCCTCAGTAAAGAATGCTGTAATGAAGACAAGAAATTATGTTTCCAAACCAGTTTTTGAATCCCCAGAGATGTAAGTCTTCAAAAATCTAAAAGATATTTCCGTTAACCTACAGAAGTAGTTAAACACTACCAGGGATCATTAAATCCATTTCACTAAATCTCTTATTTTCTCTTTCCTATTTAACTCTCTGGGATTTTCCCATGAAAACAAGAAAAGTATCTTCTTCTCTTATGCTTGTACCCTAAAGAAAACTGAAAAGCCACCTCAATGCCTGAAATGCAGTTTTCATGTGAAAGATCAAGGCTTCCTCCAGACCATGGGAACTGCTGTTTGGAAGCAAGGTAGGGTCCATTCTACTCACTGTCCTGTTTATGAAGGTACCAGGCAGTGCCATAAGCTTCAAATGAGGCCACAGAGAGATGCCTCTAGGCTTGAGAAATTAAACTGTGACCCTGCACTCGCCCCTGTTTGCTTTTATATTGGTTGTGCTATACTATGCTGTCACATCGGATGCTGCAGAAGAAGGTAGAAAGAAATGTAAAAAAACCTCATCTCCCCTAATACTGCATTTCATGCTGATTTCTAACAGGTCGATCCTGAGAGATAAATGTAGTATCCCTACCAGTTATTGTAAATCTGGCTTTAGATTTAGCCCAGCCCTTTCTGAATTTTGACAGACTTTTGCCCTTGATATTTTCCCACCTGAGTGAGTTCAACAGTTAAACTATGGTTTGAAAGAAGGAGTGTTTATTTATTGCCAGCCCCCTTGTTCTTGCTATAAGATGGGGAAAATAGAAGTTTCTGACCAAACTTTTCTGTCATTTCTTTTTACTCCTGTCAAGGATAAACAGTCACAATCTTTTCTATTACTCTGCTGTGGGAAGTTTTCTGTATGGTCTGACAAACCTCTTTGGTCTTCCTCTTATTGCACACTAGTCTTCTCAAGATGGACCGATACCACACCCGATGTTTTCAGATGAAACCACATCCACCATTTAAACAAATTAATTACAATATTGTTTGATTACTCCTCAGATTGTGTCTTTCAATGTCCAAGCTGCATACTAAGCAGAAGAATTAGAAACCTTATAATGGGGACAAGAACTTCCCATAAGGAATACATTCAAACACACAGGTATCCTAATCAAATGCCCATCCCTTTGCCGACTTGCCAAGCAGATTCACATCCTCCCAAGGAGGCCCACACAGACCTCCTTGCTTGCTCCAAATAACTTTGTACTATGTTCAAATCTTTGTAGTTTACAAGGTATTCCCACTCTCCAGCCTGTTCTTTGCTGTATTACACAACACTGGACCCAGCATTGAACCTTGATACACCAGCTGTTAGCCTTTATCTATAAAGAAAGTTCTTTCTTTCATTATCTTTCATTCTAAAAATTTTGATCCAAGACAGTGCTTTGTTTCTCTTTGAAAGCCTATTACACACCAAAGGTCTTCAGAAAGTCTCAGTAAATTGTCAAACCCCTTACCTATTCGTCCTGTGCCTATCATGTAAAGAATTTTAAGAAGGTAGTGAGACAAGCTTTTCCTTGGTAGGAAAAAAAAATTCAGTCAGAACCTCCTAGATCTTCATTTCCCAGGTGCTTTACTGCTTATACCTAGTTACTGTTTCAATCAATTTCTCAAATGTTCATGTAAAATTTATGTGTCTTTAAATCTTTGAATCACACCCAAATCCTTTTTAAATATAGCTAATAGCATTTGCCACCCATTAATTTTTCTAAATTCTTTCTATTGTAACTTCTAGCTTGTAACAAGCTCTTCTTCAAACATTGTAATTTCTGATAACATAATCTTTATTACAAGTACTAACCACTAGTAAAGGCACTATAATTAATAGCTTACTTTTGTAGTAAGGTTTTACTTTAGTAAGGTTTGTAGATAAATTTCCTTCTGATTAGTATTGCAATGCAATAGCACATGGTTAATGTAGGAGATACAGGAACTAGTCAGAACTATACAAAATGGAAATGTCAAACCAACAAAAATCATCAATGAAAAATAAAATGTTATTTAAGAATTCTTCCTGTTTTAGTGAACCATGGTATTATTGGTGTCACAGCTAAATATTGTGCATATATTATAATTCATATATGTGTGTGTATGCATATAATTAAAATGTATGTTTCTTAACTTGGCAGAGACCCTTTCATAGTGATTAAATTAACATGGTTATTTCTGCTTACCAGCTCAGTGCAGCAACCTCTCTATTTATCAAGGTCCTTAGATCGTGATGGTAGAATCTGAACGAGCACCCATGCCAGCAACATTCCTGTATCTGTTTTCCATTGAACTGTTGCCTCCAAAAGAAGCAC